CCAAAGATCGATGTCGGGCCGACTTTGTTTGTCTCCACACACGCTGCGAAAAATTCATAATTCATCCAACGCGTGATTTGGTTTTAGCTTTTATTAAACAACTATACATCTATCATCTGAATCAACGGAATACATACATCATAAAAAAAGTAAATTTACAGTTGATTAAACACCGATTAAATGATACCGACGACAATTCAACAGTCACTAAATCTATGCCACAACGGAAAAAAGCGTTTGTACATTGCTTATCATATACACTGACAAATTATTCGAAGGGCTGGGATACCGGGTGGCCCAGGTTGCTCGAACGTGGTTAGGTCGCTGATTGGTGGAGAGGGGGAGATGTGTAAAAACAACGTTGAGTTTTCACCCTATATATCCAGATTTTTGGGAAAAAATCAAAATTGTATAGCATTTGGAATTTAATTTTGAAACTGGAAAACCGAAAAATTGTTAACTAAAAAAAACAGTTTTTTGATAATACAATCTTTCGGTTTTTCATTTTCTTTAATTTTTCAATTATTCCATTTTTCAATTTTTGGTAATCATAATTTTTCGTTTTGTCAATTTTTTAATTTTGCAATTTTTCGATTTTACAAATATTCATTTTTCAAGTTCCTGCTTTTTATTTTTCGTTTCGTTTCTTGATTTTATATGACACTTTTTCGTTTCTTCTTTTCCTTTATTCTTTCAATGTTTGTCTTAGAATTTGCAAATCCACGACTTTCCAAATTTTAAATGTTTCAATTTCGCAATTTTTGTATTTCCCAATTATCCGATTTTCCGTTTTCCTAAATTTTCAATATTTCGACTTTACAATATTTCGTTTTTTCGATTTTACAGTTTTTCGATTTTTAAGTTTCTTAATTTTTATTCTTTCGATTTTCAATTGTTCTAGTTCTTGATTTCCAATTTTTAGATTTTTCGAAGTTTTCATGTTATAATTTTTCTTTTTTCCATTTTTGATTTTTCAGTTTTGCAATTTTCCCATTTCAAAAACGAAAATTTACAAAATCGCAAAATAGGAAATCTAAAAATTGTACATTAGAAAAATTATAATTATTAATTTAATTACATATTTTAAAGTCGAAAAATTGTGACATTGAAAAATTGAGTATTTAAATATCAAGAAATCGAGAAATTGAAAATTTAAAAATTGAAAAATTCTAAAATCCAAAAAGTGAAAAATGAAAAATTTTAAAGGTATGAGAAGAATCGAAAAATTGAAAAATCGGTAATTTCAGTTCTCGTTTCTTCAATTTTTCAAATTTTTGGTGTTTATTTTTTATTTTCCTGGTTTTTTAATTTTCAATTCCTCTATTTTTTATCACAGTTTTTCGTTTTTTCATTTTCTTTATTTTTTCAAGTTTTTTTCGATTTTATAATGTTTCGTTTAATGTTTGATTTTTCAATTTCTCGATTTTCCAATTTATAAATTTTTCAATTTTGCAATTTTTTGGATTTCTCCGTTATCCGATTTCCCAGTTTTTCTGATTTTCAATTTTTCGATTTTGCAGTTTTTGTTCTTTCGAATTTTCAATTTTTTGGTACTTCAATTTTTCAGTTTCTTGATTTCTAATTTTTATATTTTTCCATTTCCATTTAATACTTTTTTCGTTCTTTTCAATTTCACATTTTTTTTTTCGTTTTAGAATTTTCTGATTTTGCAAGTTTTCCATTTTTTGTCTCTTCAATTTCTCGATCTTTCAGTTTCTCAATTTATAATTTTTGGATTTCAATTTTTCGACTACTTCGTTTTAAATTGCTCAATTTTTCGATTTTTCAACTTATGAATTTTTTTATTTTTCGATTTTTTAAATTCCAATTGTTCCTTTTTAAAATTCTTTGTTGCTGCAATTATACGAATATTTAGGTTTTCGGTTTTTTAATTTTTCACTTTTGAAACTTTTTGAATTTTCAATTGTTACATATACCTATTTTAAATTTTGGTTTTATTAATTCTTCGATTTTTGAATTTTTTTTATTTTTAACTTTTAAATATTTTATTTTTCGGTTTTACAATGTTTCGTTTCTTCAGTTTCTCGGCTTGCAATTTTTCGGCTTTTCAGTTCAAAATTTTCCAAAGTTTCGATATTTTAGCTCTGCATTTTTTCAATTTTTCGATATTATTTTGGTATTTTGTAAGTTCTAGATTAGAATTTTGCAATTTTCCAGGTTTTTAATCTAAAAAATTTTGGGATATTATTTTACATTTTTTCGACCATACAATGTTTCCATATTTTAATTTTCCTTTTCTCCAACTTGTGAATTTTTCAATTATTTGATGTTGAAATTTTCAAATTTTAATTTTTCGTTTTTACAATTTTTCTTGTTTTATTTGAAAATTGTTTAGTTTTTCAATTTTAATTTTCTCATTTTTTTTTAATCTTTCGAGTTTTCAATTTTTCGTTTCTTCAGTTTTTCAAGTTCTCGATTTCCAATTTTCAGGTTTCTCAAAATTTTCATTTTATCTTTTTTTTTATTTGTTAAAAAATCGAAAAACTGAAATAACGAAAAATAGTAAAATCGTAAAAGTGTAAAATTGAAAAATTATAAATCAAAGAGCTGAAGAAACGAAAAATCGACACATTGAAAAACTAAAAATCGGAAAATATTAATGAATTGAAAAATTGGAAAGAAGAAAAAAATGGAAAATTGTAAAATTGAAGTGAATAATTTAAAAAATTGTAATTATAATTTGTTACAACATTTAAAATGAAAAATAGACACATTGAAAATCAAAATTTGAAGAAACGAAAAATTGAAAAATCCAAAATTGAAAAAACAAAAATTGAAAAATCTAAAGATGAAAACTCGAAAAATTGAAAACCGAAAAACTGAAAAATCCAAAAATTGAAAAATTTAGAAGTTAAAACAATCAAATTGGGAAATCAGTAAACTGAAAAATTTTAAAATGAAAATTCGAAGGGATGCATATCGTAAAATTTAAAAAACAAAAGAAGTGAAAAACTTCAAATCGAAAATTTGGAGTAACAAACAACTAAAAAAATTAAAATTGAAAAAATAAAATATAATAAGATCGGAACACTAAAAAATCGAAAAATTTAATAAACGAAAGATTAAAGAATCGAAAAATCGAAAAATTGTGAAAACGAAAAAATCAAAATCCTTGTCAATTTACCGTTTGTTCAATTTTTCGGGTTTTCAGTTTTAAATTTCTCTTTTAGATTTTTTGACTTTTGAATTTTTCAATTTTTTGTTTCTTCAATTATTCGATTTTAATTTTTCGATTTTTCAGTTTCTCTATTTATTTTTTTAATTTGAAACTTTTTCGATTTCAATTTCTCGAGTTGTATTTTTTTAATTTTAAAGTTCTTCAATGTTTCGATTTGGCAATTTTTCGAATTATCAATTTCAAATCTTTTGAATTACGTATTCAACTTTTGATTTTTCAGTTTTTCGTTTCTTCAGAATTAGAAATTGAAAAATCAAAAAACCGAATAACTTAAAATCGAAAAAAAGAAGAAACAACTTGGAAAAATAAAATAAAATATTATAAGATCGGAACATTGAAAAATCGAAAAATTGTAATAATGGAGAAAATAAAAACCGAAATGAAACATTGCAAATCGAAAATTTGAATGAACGAAAGATTAAAAAATCGAAAAATTGAAAAAGTTTTAAAATCCAATGATTGAAAAATAGAAAAATCTAAAATTGAAAAAATTTCCAACTGAAAATTGAAAAAAAACAACAAAATTTTAAATTCAAAAACTGAAGAGATGAAAAATTGAAAAATTTAGAAGTTGAAACAATCAAAATTGGGAAATCAGTAAAGTGAAGAATTTTAAATAAAAAAAAAAAATTGAAATTGGAAAAATAAAATACATATAATAAGATTGGAACACTAAAAAGTCGAAAAATTTAATAAACGAAAGATTAAAGACGAAAAATCGAAAAACTGTAAAAACGAAGAAAATCAAAATTCTTGACTTCTCAATTTTTCGTTTGTTCAACTTTTCGGGTTTTCAGTTTTAAATTTCTCTTTTCGATTTTTTGACTTTTCGAATTATTCGATTTTAATTTTTCGATTTTCCAGTTTCTCTATTTTTTATTTGAAACTTATTCGATATCAATTTTTCGGGTTTTCAACTTTTGCATGTTTTAATTTTAAAATTTTTCATTTCTTCTGTTTTGTGATTTGTAATTTTCGAATTTTCTATTTTCGGATTTTTAAATTTTAAAATATGAAAGTTTCGATTTTTCAGTTTATCGTTTTTTAATTTTTTAATTTGTCGCTTTTTGAATTTTTACAAAGTTTGAATTTTTTTTGGATTTTTTTGTTTCTTCAGTCGTTCAAATGGGTTTTGTTTATTTTTAAAAATTGAATTTCTCGGTTTCTCAGTGCTGCAGTTTTACGACTTTGCAATTTACGAATTTTTAATTTTTGTATTGTAAAATTTTGCAATTTCAACTTTTTGATTTTTCATTTTTTCGATTTTTTTTTAATTTTTCAATTTTACACTTGTCTCATTTTTTAATTTTACAGTTTTTCTGTTTCAAATTTTGCAATTTTTCTACATTTGATTTTTCAATTTTTCATTTCTTCAGTTCTGTGAGTTTTCAATTTTCGAATTTTCAGTTTTTGGTTTTAAAAATTTTCAATTTTAAATTTTTATTTTTTTTAAATTTTACATTTCTTCAATTTTTGAATTCAACTTTTGATTTTTCAGTTTTTCGTTTCTTCAGTTTTAAAGAGCTAGAAATTGAAAAATCAAAAACCGAATAACTTAAAATCGAAAAAATAGAAAAAACAATTTGGAAAAATAAAATAAAATATTATAAGATCGAAACATTGAAAAATCGAAAAATCGAATAATTATAAAAGCAAAGGAAATAAAACCACAAGAAAAATTGCAAATCGAAAAACTGAAGAAATGAACAATTGAAAAACCTAAAACTTGAAAAATTCAACATTGAAAATTCGTGAAATTTCAAAATAGAAAAATTACAAAATCTAAAAAATGTATCGAAAAGTTGAATAAACGCAACATTGAAAAAATTGAAATAGGAAAAACAAAAAATTATAAAATCGGAACATTGAAAAATCGAAAAATTGTAAAAATATAGAAAATAAAAATTGGAGAAACGGAAAATTGACAAAAAAAGACAACATTTTATTTTTCCAGTTTTCCCTTTTCCAAATTTGACTGTTTCAACTTTTCGGTTTATTCGATTTTTCATTTCTTCAGTTTTTGGATTTGTAATTCCTGTTTTTTATTTTCTTTGTTTTATCACTCTCTTGGTTTTTCAATGTTCTGATTTAAACACTTTTTTTTTCGGTTTTCAATTTATCGAGTTTTCAACTTTCAGATTTTTCAATTTTTTATTTCTTTAAATTTTGATTTGCAGTGATAATTATGGTTTCTAAAATTTTTCGGTTTTACGAATTTAGAATTTTTCTATTTTTCAATAATTGGATTTTAAAACTTCATTTGTTCGATTTTTCAATTTTTGAATTTTTAATTTTCCAATTTTTCGACTTCACAATTTTGACGGTTCTATAATTTTTCGATTTTAAAGTTTTTGGGTTTTTCGATTTTTCGATTCTTTAATTCAGTTTTCGAAAAATTGAAAAATCAAAAACTTGATACATTCATAAATTTATTTGATTTGTTGGGATGCACTACAGGGGTGGAGGAAGTTTGATTCTGGGGAAATAATAACCTTCGACCAATTTTTTAATGTTACAAGTTTAGTGGGCCACCCGGTATAGTAATAATAATAACAAATAAAAAATGATAAGTCTTACGTTACGTAACTGATGCAAACCATGTGTCGACAACCGAAATCCTCGTCTGAGTTACCCTTACAATGTAAATATAATACAAAAATATTACAATTAGCGTGCTTTCCTAAAATTCCCTAAAAATAAACCTCTAGATTTGTCCTATGTACAATTTTGTTATTGTATTTTATAGCAGTATACCATTTTACATTATACACACTGATAAATGTTTTTATGTAATTTTGATTTTCTGAACACATACTTAGTCTTACACCTAGTACAGCTGCCTGTTTAACCGAAAATTTTCGAAACTGATATGTTTTAAGAGCTTTCAATCCGGAAGGCAAAACAACGCTAAAAGAAGATTAAGGCCAGAATGGACGTGGTCCATTTACAAACCTACCCATAAATGTATGTACAACACGTAGACAACTAACACGCACACGACTTCTTACGATTCGGTCGTAGGTCGCTTCCCCACCCATGCGCTTATACTAGGAATATTGTAGACTTTTATTTTTAGAGCTTTCAGAGCCGGATACTGATCCAGCGCAGCTTTGCCGAAGATGTGCTCGAAGTTCTCGAGAGAGACCGCGAACACGAAGTCGCACCAGGTGATCTGAAAAGAAGAAGTGTGAGATCCGTTCTGCTGAAATATTTAACGGGGGTTCATGTTTGAGCTGAAATTTATATCGATGTCGGCTGAACAAATTCGTTCTTGGGGGGTTTAGTGCGAAAGACAGCTTTCAGAGGAGGCCACCAGTCAATCAATCATTTCTTTTATTCGCTGAGTGCGAAGGGGAATTCGGCGTGTCATTTCTACGACCGCAAATTCCGTTACGGTATGTTTACAATCCGGAAAATGCGGCTGAACTGCTTAGGGGCGAGAGGATACAACAAAAGTGCAATTGGGTTAAATGTGGCGTTTGGGGTAAATGCGGGATTCGTTTCCGAAAGAACATTTCAAACTGGCGCTAATTCGAATATTATTGCTTTTACGGAGTTTATTTATACTGCTGGTCTGAGATTTTTTTTACGTGCGTCGGTTTTCGATTTCGAAAAATATTATATTTATTTATTGTTTTTTCAATATTTCCCTTCTTCAGTTTTTTGAGTTTTGAATTTACGATTTTTCAATTTTTAGTTCCTTCAACTTTTTTTTAACTGATTTCAAGATTTAATTATTCGTTTCCACGATTTTTCATTTTCAACTATGTGTTTTGTAATTAGGTGTTCGTTTTTTAAATTTCCGGTTTTACGAGTTTTTGATTTTATAAAATTTCGAAATTTTTCGGTTTTTGTGTTTTTATTTTTTCACTTCATCGATTTTTCAGTTGTTCGTTTTTTCAATTTAACCACAAGTTTTAAAACCTTAATTTTTTAATTTTAAAGTTTTCGCTTCTCTCAGTTGTGCGATTTCTAGTCACAAAAATAACGATTTGAAATTTTTCACGATCTCAATTGAAAACTTCTGATTCCTTCGGTTATTCAAACCTGAATTAAACATTTTTCGATTATTAAATTTTAGAATTTTTTCATTTTTGAAGTTTCAAGATTTTTTCGATTCTGCAATTTTTCTATTTGCAATTTTAGGGATTTTCAATTTTACAATTTCTCGACTTTACAATAATTGTACATTTTTCGTATTTTCAATTTTTAGAAATTGTAATTTTTCGTTTCTTCAGTATTCCGGATTTTCAATTTTTTATTTTTTTGATTTTTCAAATTTCAGATTTTTCAATTTCTGGATTTAAAATTTTGTTATTTTTCAGTTTCCCCCTTTTTTTTTCAATTTTTCATTTCTTCAATTTTTCGATTTCAATTTTTCGAGTTTTTCGTTTAAATTTCACATATTTGCGTTTTTTAAAACTTTGAATGTTTAATTTTTCTAATTTTTCACATTGAATTTTTTAATTTTTTGTTCCTTCAATTTTTAGATTTTTCAGTTTTCCGCCTTTTATATGTTTTGTCAATTTTTCGTTTCTCGTTTTCAGTTAAAATCTCATTTTTCGATATTTCAATTTCTGAATTTTTCAATTTTTTGATTTTTAGTCTCTTCAATTTTTCGATTTTTCAGATTCCCGATTTTTATTTTTTTTGTTAATTTTTCGTTTCTTCAATTTTTCGGTTTTTCAACTTTAGAATTTTTTTGATTTTTTGTTTCCTCAAATTTAAAACTTTGCAGGTGTTTGAATTTTTAGTTATTCAGTTTTAAAATTTTCAACTTATGGATTATTGAAGCTTTTTATTTTTAGCTTTCAAAGTTTTCATTTTCAAGTTTACAACTTCTCGTTTTTTCACATGTAATTTTTCAGTATTTTAATTTCAATATTTTGAATTTTCCGATTTTACAATTGTTGGACATTTCAATTTTCCGTTTTTTCAACCTATCGTTTTTTCATTTTCTCGATTTTGAAATTTTCAAGTTTTAATTTTTCAATTTTACAACGTGACAATTTTTCAAAAGTTTTACAATTTTTAATTTTTTTGGCAATTTTTCGGTTTTTTCAATTTGTCGATATCAATTTTTTTGAGTTTTCGGTTTTCGATTTCACATTTTTCGTTCTTTCAAATTTTGAATATTTAATTTTTCTAATTTTCCACATTGAATTTTTCAGTTGTTGCTTTAATTTTTCGATTTTTCAGGTTTTCGCTTTTTATATTTTTTGCCAATTTTTCATTTTTCATTTTCGATTTTTCGAGTTTTCAGCTTTAAAATCTCAATTTTTCGATTTTTCAATTTTTGAATTTTTCAATGTTTTGATTTTTGTGTCTTCAAATTTACCGACTTACAAGCTTTCGAATTTTTAATTATGCAATTTTGAAGTTTTTTGATTTTTCAATTTTTGTTGTTTCTTCAATTTTTCGACTTTTTAGTTTTTCGGTTTTTAATTTTCGGATTTAAATTTTTCGAGTTCTCAATTTTAAACTTCCCAAATTTTCGAATTTTTTAATTTTTGAATTTTTGAATTTTTTAGTTATTCAACTTTTGGATTTTTCACTTGTTCAGTTTTTTAATTTTTTGTTTCTGCAATTATACATTTTTTCATAGTAACTATTTTTGGGGTTTTCAATTTAAAATTTTTCATTTTGGTTTTTCAACTTTTGAATGCTTCAATTTTCCGGTTCTTCAGTTCTCTGATTTTACTAGCTATCGATTTTTTAATTTAGAATTTTGTAATTTTTCGGTTTTTTAATTTTTAAAATTTGAATTTCCCAATTTTCCAATATTTAAATTTTTGGATATTTTAATTTTTCGTTTTTTCAAGTTATCAACTTTTCAGTTTCTCGATTCTGAAGTTTTCAAGTTTTCATTTTTCGATTTTACGATTTTTTGACAAATTTTCGCTTTTCTTTCAAATTTTTTAATTTTTCGATTTCTCAAGGTTGAATTTTTCATTTTGTCGACTTAAAATTTTTCGAGCTCTAAGTTTCTCCATTTTTTATTTTTGTCAACTTTTTCTTTCTTCAAAAAAACTGTTATTATTATTTCTATTATTTTCAAATTTTCCGATTTTCCAGCTTTTGAATTTTTCAATTTTTGGATTTTTAAATTTTTTCTTTCTTCAAATGTACGATTTTGCAAGTTTTCTATTTTCCAATTGCTCTGTTTTCAATTTTTTTTAATTTTGAACTTTTGGATATTTTAATTTTTCGTTTTTTCAATTTATCGATTGATGAATATTTATATTAACTTTTATTTTAAAGTGTTAATTTTTTAGTATTACAATTTTTTATTTCTTCAGTTTTTTTTTTATTTTTCAATTCCCCGACTTCGAAATTTTATTTTTCAGTTTTTTGTTATTTAAATTTTTCGAGTTTTCAGTTTTAAATTTCTCAATTTTTGGATTTTTCAAATTTAACGGTTTTTCAAGTTTTCGAATTTTTATTATTCAATTTTGAAGTTTTTTGATTTTCCAATGTTTACATATTTTAAATTTTCGTTTTTCACTTCATCTATTTACAGTTTTCGGGTTTTCGATTTAAATTTTTTGGGTTTTCAGTTTTAAATTTCACACGTTCGTGTTTTCAAATTTTGAATATTTAATTTTTCAAAATTTTTCAGATTCAATTTTTCAATTTTTTGTGGCTTTAATTTTCCGATTGTTATATTTTTTATTAGTTTTTCATTTCTTCAATTTTTCATTTTCTATTTTACGAGCTTTTAGTTGTAAAATCTCAATTTTTCGATTTTTCAACTTTTGGAATTTTTAATTTTTTGATTTTTTGTATCCACAAATTTACGATTTTGCAAGTTTCCGAATTTTTGATTATTCAAATTTAAAACTTTTTGATTTATCGATTATTGTTTTTTTATTTTTAACTTTAAAGTTTTAATTTTCAATTTTACATCTTGTTTCTTCAATTTTTGGATTTTTCAACTTTCAATGCTTCAAATTTTGGGTTCTTCAATCTCCTGATTTTTTAATTTCAGAATTTTGTAATTTTCCGGTTTTTAAGTTTAAAATTTTGCAATTTTTCGATATTTCAAATTTCCAATTTTTGAACTTATCGATTTTTCAGTTTCTCGAATTTGAAGTTTTCAAATTTTAATTTTTCGATTTTACAATTTTTCGGCTTACAACTTTTCGATTTTCGTTTTAAATATTTTAATTTTTCGATTTTCCACTTTTTCAGTTTTTAGTTTCTTCAGTTTTACGATTTCACAATTTTTCAAAATTTCGTATTTTAGATTTTCCAATTTTCCGATTTTTCAACTTTGGGATTTTTCGATTTTTGGATTTAAAATTTTTTTGTTTCTTTAATTTTAAAGTTTGCAAGTTTTCTATTTTCTAATTGCTCAGTTTTGAAACTTTTGGGTTTTGCGCTTTTAGATATTTTAATTTTAACTGTTAAAGTTTTGATTTTTCGGTGTTACAATTTGTTGCTTCTTGAACTTTTTGAGTTTCCATTTTAAATGTTTTAATTTTTTGACTTTCAAGCTTGCATTTCTAAATTTTTTGTTTCTTCAATTTTTCGATTTAAATTTTTTTTCAACTTTGAATTTTTCAATTTTTCGTTTCTTCAGTTTAACGATTTGCTAATATTGGAGTTTTTAATTTTTGTTTCAAAAATTTTCGGTTTTAAATTTTTGATTTCCCAGTTTCTCGATTTTTAATTTTTTGATTTTTCAACTTTGCATTTGTCCAATTTTTTTATTTTACAATTTTTGGGTTTCAATTTTTCGAATTTTCATTTTAAAATCTTTGTTTCATTTTTTTTTAATTTTTTTTTTCAGTTTCAACTTTTTGGTTTTTAAATTTTTCAATAAAAAATTTCAGTTTCTCGACTTTTAATATTTGGGTTTATCAATTTTACGTTTCTTCAATTTTTCGAATTATCAATTTCAAGTTTTTAAATTTTTTAAATCTTTAATGTCATGATTTCGATCTTTTTATTTTATAATTTTGCAATATTTATTTTTCCTTTCTCAATTTATCGATTTTTGAATTTTTTGAATCTTAACTTTTAAAGTTAAGTAATTTTTTGTTTCTTGAATTTTACAATTTGCAAATTTTGGAGTTTTCAATATTCAGATTTTAAAATTTTTCAGTTTCAAATTTTTTTTAAACTTTTGATTTTTCAGTAATTTCTTCAGTTCTACGATTTTGTAATTTTCGAATTTTCAACTTTTAAATTTTTAAATTTTTCAGTTTCAAATTTTTGATATTTCAGTTTTTTGATTTTTGGACTTTTGGTTTTTCAATTTTTCGTTCCTTCAGTTTTCAAGAATTATAAATTGAAAAATAAAAAAACTGACTGATTTAAAATCGAAAAATTGCAAAATTAAATCGAAAAACTGACAAAATCTTAAAATCGAAAAACCAAAGTACATACATATTTCTAAAAATTCAAATTTGCGCCAGTTCAAATTTGTTGTGATAGCGATCCGTGCTATGAGTGCATTATTTGTGCCGCCTCTCAAAAAAACCCACCATACTACCGAAAAATAAAAACAAAACCATATAACCAAGAAAAGCCGAAACGAAAAGAAAGAACTAAAAATTAATTAGAGATCTAGAGGAATACAGAGGCACGCTAACATGCTCAGATGATAAAAGCCCACAATTACTTACGTCTGATCCCACGGAGAAGCCATTATTTTCTGACAGCATTTTCTCAAATTTAGATAAATAAAATGGAATGGTCTCTCTCATTAGCCGAGCTTTTTTCTCCTCTTTTTTAATAGGGTCTTGTTCCATTCGGAACTGAGCAAGGACTGAAAAGAGAAAACTGCGATTTAGGATCGGTTTTGTATGAAAGTATTATAATTAAAATTATTAAATCGTGAAAGTTCAGAAACCGCGTGTTATTGTTGGAGGAAATTGTTTCAGCAGAAACGATATTGCTTTTATTGATTCGTGAGCTTGTATAGAATAGTTTGACAAGCTTTTAATGTAACAATAACAACTAATGAATGGAAATTAAGTCTACCGGAGGAATTTCAAGAGCTGTGTGACGTTAACAAAATGCTGCCGTGTTATTGTAGTTTCGACTAATCATAAAGTGGCTACTTTAAGGTAACGGTATGGTAACAAATTAGATAACTATGTCTTTTTTTTGAAAACAATGATACCTTTCTAGTTAATTCGTTAAAAAAGCAATTTTGAAAATATTGTGGTAAAAAATTCAAAGAAAAATGATTTATAGTTGTTTCGATTTCTTACTATTATTAATGATGATTTGTGATTTGTATACACTGATGACTCACAATGAAATGAATGCCAGTGCCTGTGAAAAATCGTTCTGATTCTTTCTTGGTAATCTTGCTTCTGTATTATTCTTGATAATGTTACTTATCGCGGCAGGAAATTGGAAAAATTCCATCAAGAGTTGGTACAGAGATAACATAAAGGAATGGTTTCTGATGATCTTTGCTTAAAATAGAATTACTTTAAAATGTAAATCAGAAAATGTGTTAATATACCTAGTAAAAGAGGGCGAAAAATAATATAGTGATATTCAGTTTTAAGGTGTACTCTATATCACTATGATATTAACATGAACACAGATTGAATAAAATATCATACGTCTGTACTCGTGGTTTATGAATCTGCCTTGAGGTTTTCCGTTAGATTATTTTTCAATTTTTGGGTATTTACATATTTTCTTTTTTCAGTTTGTCGAATTTTAGTTTTTAAAGCTTGAATTTTTTCATTTGACAACTTTTCGTTTGTTCAATTTTACGATTTTTTAATTTTTAGATCTTCCAGATTCTCGAGTTTGAATTTTTTGACTTTACAATTTTTCGAATTTTCAATTATTTATCGATTTTTGTGTTTCTCGATTTGCAGTTTTTCTGTTTCACCATTTTCAATTTTTGAAAATTTCGTTTCTGGCAATTTTTCGATTTTTCAACTTTATGATTTTGAAATTTTTATACTTTCCAGTTTTTAGATATATTAATTTTTCGGGTTTTTTTTTCAATTTACGATTTTCCTTTTTCTGAATTTTTAATAAGAATTTTTTGAATTTTTCAAAATTTGGTTTCTTAGTTTTTACGATTATGCAATTCGTTTTTTTTTTCAATTTCATATTTTTCAAAATTTTTTGTTTTCCCGTTTTCAATTTTTCATTCCTTTACGATTTCGTAATTTTTTGTTTTTACAGTTTATTTATTTCTCCAATTTTAAGATTTGTCGATTTTTGGAATTCAATTTTTGGAGATTTCAGTTTTAAATTTCTCAATTTTTCGATTTTTTGACTTTTGAGTTTTTCTTTTTTCTGTTTCAATTTTCGATTTTTCAGTTTCTCGGTTTAAATTTTTTAAATTTGTCAATTTATTCAGTTTTCAGTTTTAAATCTCTTAATTTTTCGATGTTTACAACTTTTGAATATTCTAATTATTCGAATTTTCCAATTTTTCGAGTTTTCAGTATTAATTTCTCAATTTTTCTATTTTTTGACTTCTGAATTTTTCAATATTTTGTTTCTTCCATTTTCTGATTTTCAATTTTTTTGATTTTTTAGTTTCTCGAATTTTAATGTTTTAATTTTCCACTTCTTCGGTTTTTCGGGTTTTCAGTTTCAAACTTCTCTTTTCAACTTTTTGACTTTTGAATTTTTCAATTTTTCGATTTTTGAAATTTTATTTTTTTCACAATTTTTTGTTTCTTCAATTCCTCAAGAGTGTTTTTTTTTTTTTCAAATTTGAATTTTTCAGTTTTTCGTTCCTTCAGTTTTACGAGTTTGGAATTTATGAATTATAGAATTTTCAACTTCTCTATTTTAAAATTTTTCAATTTTACGTTTGTTCTATTATTTGATTTTACAGTTTGTTTCAGTTCAAAATTTTTCGATTTTTCAACATTATTTTGTTTTTTCACTTTTTTATTTCTTCAGTTCAGAGAATTTACAATTTTCTAATTTTCAATTTTTGGGGTTTTTAAAATTTTCAATTTAATTTTTTGATTTTTGAAATTTTCAACTTGTACTTTTTGATTTTTCAATTTTTTTCAAGATTTGGTTTCTTGGTTTTTACGATTTTACATTTAAAAAAATTTTTTTGTTTTCGTATTTTCAATTTTTCTTTTTTCAAATTTTTGATTTCGCAATTTTTCTAATTTTCAATTTGCAGTTTTTTTATTTTCTCGAATTTAAATTTTTTGTTTCCACAACTTATTTGTTTTAGATTTAACAGTTGTCGTTATTAAATTTTTTCGAATTAAATTTTTCATGTTTTCAATTTTTATTTCCTCGATTTTACGATTTTACATATTTTTGATTTTCAGTTTTACGATTTTGTGATTTCTTGATTTTCCAATTTTTAGGTCTTTTAATGATTCGTTTTCTTTAGTTTATAATTTTTAAATTTCAAATTTTTCGTTCTTCCATTTTACAATTTTTCATTTCTTCGATCTTACGATTTTTAATTTTTTTTTTTATTTCTCTATTTTACAATCTTTAATTTCTCTAATTTTTCTCGTTTCCAATTGAAAATTTTTCAACTCTTCCTTTTTTGATTTTTGAAGATTTAAATTTTTCGTTTCTTCAGATTTACGATTTCCCAATTTTTCGAAATTTTCGGTTTTTACATCTTACAATGCTTCGATTTAAAATTTTAATTGTCCAATTCTTCGGTTAGCAATTTTTTGATTTTACAATATTTCACATTTTCATTGTAAAATTTTCAATTTGAGCTTTTGGAATTTTTAATTATTGACTTTTCACGTTTTAGTAATTTTAGATTTTTCGATCTGAGAAATTTTAATTTCCTCAGTTTCTTGAATTATTCGAGTTTTGAATTTAGAATTTTAAAATTTCGTTTTTTCAGTATTACGATTTTCCAATTTTTAGACATTTTTCGTTTTTAAATTTATCGATTTTAAAGTTTTAATTTTTCAGTTAAAATTTTTCATTAATTTCTGATTGATTTTAAAGTGAACATTTTCAGTTTTTGGATTTTTCACTTTGTCGATTTTTAATTTTTAGATTGTCCAATTTTGTGTTTTTCCAATTTTACGATTTTTATTTAAATTTTTTTTATTTCTTTATTTTACAATCTTTAATTTCTTTAATTTTTCTCGTTTCCAATTGAAAATTTTTCAACTCTTCCATTTTTGATTTTTGAAGATTTCAATTTTCTGTGTCTTAAGGTTAACGATTTTCCAATTTTTCGAAATTTTCAGTATTTACATCTTACAATGCCTCGGTTTTTCAGGTTTCTCGATTTTCAAAAAATTTTAATTTTCCAATTTTTCGATTAGCAATTTTTTGATTTTACAATGTTTCACATTTTCTTTTTAAAATTTTCAATTTGAGTTTTTGGAATTTTTAATATAAAAATTTAAAAATGCAAAAATCGAAAAATTTAAAATTTAAAAATCCGAAAACTGAAATTTCGAAAACTGCAGAAATGAAAAATCGAACGTTAAAACATTCAAAAACCGAAATCTCGAAAAAATGAAATCCAAAGGTTTTCAATTTAAAAAATTAAAAATTTAGGAACTGAAAAAAGATAAATTAAAATTTCTTAAACTAAAAAATCAATAATTAAAAATTCCAAAAACTCAAATTGAAAAATTTTAAAATGAAAACTTGAAAAATTGCAAAATCAAAAAATTACTAATCGAAACTTTAGAAAATTAAAATTTTTAAAAATCGAGAAACCTGAAAAACCGAAAAATTTTAAGTCGAAAGATTGTAAGATGTAAAAACACAAAATTCTAAAAATTTCAATTTTCAAAAATCGAAGTTTTCAATTAGAAATGAGAAAAATTGTGAATCAAAAAAATTAAAGAAACGAAAAATTGTAAAATAGAAACCTACAAAAATTTAAACTTAAAAATCGTAAAATTGAAGAAATGAAAAATTGAAAAATTTTGAATTGGAAACTCGAATAAAACTCGGGAATTTGAAAAAACGAAAATTAAAAATTCTAAAAATTGGAAAAACGAAAAATTGTACAATTGTAAAATTGAAGAAACGAAAACTTGTAAAATGGAAGAATAAAAAATTTTAAACTTAAAAATCTACAAACTTAAAAAAACAAAATTGTAAAATCGAAAAGTCAAAAATATCTAAAATCGTAAAAGTGAAGTAATCGAAGCATTGAAAAATCGAAAAATTGTTAAACTGAAAACCCGAATAATTGATGAAATTGAAGAAACGAAAAATTTTAATTTTCAAAAATAAAAAATGTAGGAGTTGAAAAATTTTCATTTAGAAACGAAAAAAATGCCGAATAAAAAAAATAAATTAAAGCAATTAAAGATTGTAAAATAAAAAAAATAAAAAAATCGTTAAATTGAAGAAATGAAAAATTGAAAAATTTTAAATTGGAAACTCGAATAAACGTGAAGAAATTGAAGAAACAAAAATTTTTAAATATTGACAAATCAACAAATTGCTTTATTGTAAAATTGAAAAAACGAAAAATTGTAAAATAGAAGCATAAAAAATTTTAAACTTAAAAATTAATAAACCGAAGAAAACGAATTATTAAAAGACCTAAAATTTGGAAAATCGAGAAATTGCAAAATCGTAAAACTGAAAAATCAAAAATATGTAAAATCATAAAATTGAGGAAACAAAGAATTGAAAAAGCGAAAAATTTTAAACTGAAAACTCGAATAATTATTGATGAAATTGAAAAGACGAATAATTAAATTTCTAAATTTTCAAAAATCGAAAAATTGCAAAAGTTGCGACATTGAAGACACGAAAAATTGAAAAATATAAAATTGACCATTCATAAAATGCCAAATTGAGAAATTGAAGACACGAAATGCTGAAAATTCAAAAAATGAACAATTTGAAAAACGTAGAAGTGAAAAATTTTAAACTGAAGGTCCGAAAAATTGAATTAAAAAAAATGTAAAAACGACAAATGTTAAATCTAAAAATTATTTTATATATATTATTTTAAAATATTTAATTTCTTTAATTTCTCTTATTTCCAATTGAAAAATTTTCAACTCTTCCTTTTTTGATTTTTGAAGATTTGAATTTTTGGTTTCCTCAGATTTACGATTTCCCAATTTTTCGAAATTTTCAGTTTTACATCTTACTTCGATTTCAAATTTTTCGGTTTTTCAAATTCCTGGATTTTTAAAAATTTTAATTTTCCAATTTTTCGATTGGCAATTTTTTGATTTAACAATAGTTCACATTTTCATTTTAAAATTATCAATTTGAGTTTTGGAATTTTTAGTTATTGACTTTTTCGATTTTAGAAATTTTAATTTTTTCAGTTTCTTCATTTATTCGAGTTTCGAATTTAGAATTTTAAAATTGTTCCTTTTTTTGAAAATTTCGTTTTTTCGATTTTGCAGTTGTATGAATCTTTAATTTTATATTTTTCAGTTTTTCGTGTCTTCAATTCTACGATTTTGCAATTTCTCGATTTTCAATTTTTAGAAATTTTAATTTTAATTTTTTCCGTTTTTTCTGTTTCTTCAGTTTTATTCAAGTATCCATTTTAAAATTTTTCTATTTTTCAATGTTTCATTTTTTCAATTTTACGATTTTTAAGTTTATATACTTTTTTCTTTATTTTACAATTTTTCGTTTCTTTAATTATTTGCTTCGCAATTTTTCTTATTTCCAACTGAATATTTTTCAACTGTTCTAATTTTGATATTTGAAAATAAAAATTTTTTTTCGATTTAAATTTTTTTGGTTTTTCAGGGTTCTCGATTTTTAAAAATATTCATTTTGCAACTTTTCAAATTAATTTTTTTATTTCTCTATTTGACAATCTTTGATTGCTTTAAATTTTTGATTCGCAATTTTTCTCGTTTCTGATTGAAAATTCTTCAACTCTTGCATTTTTGATTTTTGAAAATTTCAATTTTTCGTTTCTTCAGACTTGCGATTACGCAATTTTATATTTTTCAGTTTTTCGATTTTCCAATTTTTAGATCTTTTAATAATTCGGTTTTTTTTGTTTATAGATTATTAAGTTTTAAATTTTTTATTCTTCCATTTTACAATTTCTCGTTTCTTCAATTTTACAATTCTACAATTTTTCGAATTGCCAATTTAAAATTTTTCCATGTTTCATTTCTCAAATTTTTTTATTTCTCTATTTTACAATTTGTCGTTTCTTTAATTTTTGGTTTCGCAGTCTTTTTCATTTCCAATTGAAAATTTTTCAGCTGTTTCAAATTTCATTTTGGAAAATTTAAATTTTTCGATATTTCAGGTTTTACATCTTACAGTCTTTCGATTTAACATTTTTCCGTTTTTCAGGTTCGATTTAAAAATTTTAATTCATCTTTTTTTTAGTTTCTTCGATAGTTTTGAATTTCGTACAATTTTACAATTTTTCAGTTATAATTTTCAATGATACCATTTTTCAGTTTCAACATTTTCAGTTTAACTTTATAATTTTTCAAAATTTCGATTTTACAATTTTGAAGATTCTTCTTTCACACACAATCTGAATAAAGTGATTTAAACAGAATTTACTTTTTTATTTTGTACATGAATTATTAGTATTTCAGAAGCTATTCTGAAATTATAGGGAAGGGTGTTGTAAAATTTTATGCTGCAATGATTTGGACCATTCAGTGATTTTTATAGCCTATAATAGTCGGGATGAATATCGTTAGTTTTTAATGGATAATTACGTTGACCATTTGCATAGTTAAAACAACCATGTCCTATTTAAAAAACTTGCAATTAATGAAATTCGTAAATCTTGATTTATTAATATAGTTGGAGGAATAATTAACATGTTTTATTTTTAACTGTTTCGCTTTAGGAATTTATTATTTACATGAATTTCTGGAGGAGCCACCACAATACTCCCCACTAAAAAGAAAAAATGTAGCCGTTTTTGTATGACAATAAAATTTTAATAAAGAAAATTAGAATCTGAACAGCAACAGATGCTGAAGCAGAGACAACACGCTGAAGCTTCTCATATAAAATGCATTTTTAATGGGTTTTCTACACAAATTGACGACCACTAGGATATTTATTGTTTAAAGAAATTGTTTACCAGCTCAGTTCAACGGTCTCATTACTCCACTCCTGCCTGCATAGGCAATAAATAATATAATAAAGAATTTCGAACATCATAAAACACATCCGACATTTCCTCCTCTGTGGAATATGAGAACGCCTTTGCCTTTTAATGCCATTACCTGCATTTCATTCCCTAATAACATTTCGCGTTATTCTCCAGTCGTGCCATCCGAATCTGAATTTTCCAAGTTTCATTACGCCCTCCTATTGAACCCATGTTCAATACCCCAGCCTTCCACAATCAACCAATTTAAAAATTCAGCTCAGAAACCCAAATGCCCTCTAAAAACTTTAAATTAACCGAGCCGGAGTGCTGCATTCGAACAGCCATCTGCATTTATGAAGTCGGAAATTTTTACGGTTCTCCGGAGAAGAATCGCGAAACTTGAAATCACCGATTAACTTTTTAGATCTTTCTTTATGACGTTGCGAGTTAGAAGGGCGTGATTAATGCCGGCCTTCGTGATAAATTTGGGTTACCTTGCTTAAGGTCTCCTAGAGTGTCAACTAAAACGTCGCATTGCAAAGCTTCCCATTCATTTCGTCCTGCTAAGCCGTATTGTCTTGCCAGATATCTCGCCACGGCGTTGCTTTGAGCTACGGCTTTTCCGTCTATTTCGAGGACGGGGAGCATGCCGAAAGGCATTCCTGAAACAAATAAAGTGCATTTTAGGCGAATTAATTCCTGGGGCGAATTCTGCGGAGGATCGTCGCGGACCGTCTCGCAGGTATTTCAATAAGGAGTAAATTGCTCCGTGGGGGCTGGGGGAATTACGGCTGTAACAATGGAGAAAAAGGTAGGCCGGAAAGGGAGTTGGAGTGGGTGAATTTGTTTGGGTTGTGGCTAAATTATAGCCGTTGTGAAGAAATAGCACATATTATTTGATATTTACATTTGATATGGTTACGTTTATGGAATTCAGAAATATATATTTCATTTATAGATTTTTAGTTTCAGGCAGACTGCTTAACGATTAGATTTAATTTATTGCTTATTTTTGAATGTAGACTTTCCTTTCGTTGTCTGAATTTAGCTTTTACTTCAAACTCCTAGAATTTTCTTTCCTAAATCTGCCTACATTGTGTCAAACATTGGGACTTCTTATTATGATTAGACATTGAAGAAGTGGTTCGACAAACAAGTATGTTAAAAAATTTCATACACAAATTCAAAAAGTTCTTTCATAGATTTTTATTTTCGGGCAGACCGTTTATGTAGATTTCTTCTTTAAATGATTGAAACCTAAACTGAAATTTAGGCATTGTCCCTGTTCAGTAGACTTCTATTGCTTTAATTTAGACTTTTCATCGCCTGAGAACTTGTTTGATCTACAGACCATTTGACAACTATTTTTTGTTTGGTACTAATAAAAAAAAATTGACAATACTCTTGGAATCGTTATCATGCAATAGCTTTTTTCGGAAAAGTGAAGTTATTTTTATCTTTTAGAAACAAAACAAATTATTCAGTTATATACGTGCATTTTAAAATAAAATATAATATCAATTTTTCGAAATTTTACTTTTGGGATTTTTCAGTTTATTTATTAATCAATTTTTCGATTTTATAATTTCTCAACTTTTCAATTTCTCGATTTCAGTTTCCATTTCTCAAGTCTCCGATGTTTCAGTTTTACGTTTTTTCAATTTTTTTCCTCTTCAATTTTATGCTTTTTCAATTTTTCAATTTTTGACTTTTCTAAATACCTACTCAAGTTTACAATTTTCTAATTTGTCGGTTTTTGGATTTCTCAGTTTTTCTTTCATTTCTCAATTTTTCGAAATTTCAGTCTATTTATTATTCAGTTTTTCGATTTTACAATTTCTCAATTTTTCAATTTCGCGATCTTCAATTTTTCGATTTTTCAATTAATCGATGTTTTGATTTTCCTTTTTCTTGACTTTTGATTTTTCATTTCTTCAATTCTTCAATTTATCGATTTTTCAGGTTTCTGATTTTTCAATTTTTGGATTATTTTCAAGGTTTCGATTTTTCGACTTCAATATTTGATTTTTCGATTTCTCAATTTTTCAATTTTTGATTCTAATTTTTGGGATATTTCAGTTTTGGCATTTTTCAATATTTCGATTCTTCGACTTTTCGATTTTTGATTTCTGGATTTTTCGATGTGTCGATTTCTCAATTTTTCGATTTATAGATTTAAAATTTTTCAATCTTTCGATATTTTATCTTGTATTGTACCGCCCTGTCACTAATAACCCTTCGTGGTTAATGTGACTATAAACATTTACATAAAAAAAATCTTTTGATATTTTAATTTTTCATTTTTCAAAATTTTCAATTTTTCGATTTCTCGATGTTTCATTTCATTTCTTAGATATTTCAATTTTTCATGTTTTTGAATTTCTCAAATGTTTCCACTTTTCAATTAATCGATGTTTAGATTTTCCCTTATCTTAACTTTTGATTTTCCACTTCTTGAATTCTTCAATTTATCGATTTTTCAAGTTTCTGATTTTTTTAAGGTTTCGATTTTTCGACTTAATTTTTTTAATTTTTCTATTTTTCAATTTTTCAATTTTTTAGATTCTCAGTTTTTGGATATTTCAGTTTTTCAATATTTCAGTTTTGGGATTTTTCAATATTTCGATTCTTCGACTTTTCGATTTTTGAGTTCTGGATTTTTCGATGTGTCGATTTTTCAATTTTTCGATTTATAGGTTTTAGATTTTTCAATTTTTTGATATTTTAATTTTTCAATTTTTAAAATTTTCGAATTTTCGATTTCTCGATGTTTCATTTCAGTTCTTAGATATTTCAGTTTTTCGTGTTTTCGAATTTTTCAAATATCTCTATTTCTTAATCTTTCGATTTTTCGATTTCCTAGTTTTAAATTTTCTGTTTCTCAATTTTTTGTTTTTTCAAATTTTTGATTTTTTAGTTTTTATTTTTAAAATTTTTCAATTTTTCAACGTTTTGATTTCTCGATTTATTGTTTCAATATTGTTTTAATATTTCAACATTTTGATTGTTCATTTTCTCGATTTACCAGTTTTTCAATTTATGAACTTCGATTTTTTATTTTGACCTATTTGGTTTCCCAGTTTTTCCATTTTTGCGTTTTTGAATTTTTCCGCTTTTAGATTTTTCGGTGTTTCCATTTTTCAATTATCCGATCTTTCATTCAATTTTGCGATTTTTAAAATTTTGAAGTTTGGATTTTTCGTTTTTTGATTTCTAAATTTTACATTTTTTAAGTTTTCATTTTTTCGGTTTTTCGATTTTTAGTTCTTGCATATTTCTATTTTTCAATTTTTCTCCTCTTCAAGTTTACGCTTTTTAATCGACTTTTCTATTTTTAAATTTTTCTACTTTTCTAAATTCTCAATTTTTTGATTTTTCAATTAATCGATGTTTTGATTTTCCCTTTTCTTGACTTTTGATTTTCCGCTTCTTCAATTTTTCAGATTTCTGATTTTTCAATTTTTTAGATTCTCAGTTTTGGGATTTTTCAGTTTTTCCATTCTTCAGTTTTTCTTTCATTTTTTAGTTTTTCAATATTTCAGTTTTGGGATTTTTCAATATTTCGATGTGTCGATTTTTCAATTTTTCGATTTATAGATTTTAGATTTTTAAATTTTTTGATATTTTAATTTTTCAATTTTTAAAATTTTCGATTTTTCGATTTCTCGATGTTTCATTTCAGTGTTTTGATATTTCATTTTTTCATGTTTTCGGATTTCTCAAATGTTTTTATTTCTTAATCTTTCGATTTTTCGACTTCTTAGTTTTAGATTTTCTGTTTTTCAATTTTTCGTTTTGATTTCCCGATTTACAAGTTTTTCAATTTATAACGTTTCGATTTTTTATTTTGGCCTAAACGGTTTACCAGTTTTTTTTTTATTTTTCCGCTTTTAGATTTTTCGATTTTCCAAATTTTCAACTTTTCGACTTTACGATTTCTCGATCTTTTGATTTTTCGATTTTTCGGTTATTCGATTTTCCAGTTTTTCCAAGTTTCTATTTTTCAATTATCCGATTTTTCAATTTTTTAAATTTTGAAGTTTCGATTTTTCGTTTTTCGGCTTTTAAATTTTATATTTTTTGAGTTTTCATTTTTTCGATATTTTGAAGTTTCGGTTTTTCCATTTTTAGTTCTTCGATATTTCTATTTTTCAATTTTTCGGTTTTACGATTTTTTTGTTTAAATTTCTTGATATCTTGGTCTTTAGATTTTTAAAATTTTTCGATTTTGTGATTTCTCGATTTTTCAGGTTTTTGATTTTTTAATTTTTCTATGTTTGAAGGTTTCGATTTTTCAGTTTTGGGATTTCTCAGTTTTTCTTTCATTTTTCAAATTTTCGAAATTTCAGTTTTGGGATTTTTCAGTTTATTTATTATTCAATTTTCCCATTTTACAATTTCTAAATTCTTGAATTCCACGATTTTCAATTTTCCGATGTTTCAGTTTTACGTTTTTAAAATTTTTCTCCTCTTCAATTTTACGATTTTTGAATATTTCGATTTTTTGGTTTTTCAAGTTTGACTTTTATAAACTCCCAGTTTTTCGATTTTTCACTTCTTCAATTTTTCAATTTTTTAGGTTTTAAATTTTTCAATTTCGTCAGTTTTTCTTTCATTTTTCAATTTTTCGAAATTTCAGTTTTGGAATTTTTCGAAACTTCAGTTTCTGAATTTGTCAGATTATTTACTATTCGATTTTACAACTTCTCCATTTTTCAGTTTCTCGATTTTCAGTTTTTCGATTTCTCAATTTTACGATGTTTCAGTTTTACGTTTTTTCTTATTTTTCTCCCCTTCAATTTTACGCTTTTTAAATATTTGGATTTTTCAATTTTTCAATTTTTGACTTTTCTAAATTCTCAATTTTTCGATTTTGCGATGAATCGATGTTTTGATGTTCTCTTTTCTTGACTTTGGACTGTTTCAATTTTCCAGTTCTTCAATTCTTCAATTTTTCGACTTTTCAGGTTTCTGATTTTTCAATTTTGGATTTTTTAAGGTTTCTATTTTTCGACTTCGCTTTTTTGATTTTTCCATTTCTCAATTTTTCGATTCTTTAATTCTCAGTTTTGGGATTTTTCAGTTTTTCCGTTCTTCACTTTTTCTTTCAGTTTTCAGTTTTTCGATATTTCAATTTTGGGATTTTTCATAATTTCGATTCTTCAACTTTCCGATTTTTGAGTTCTGGATTTTTCATTTCAGTTCTTCGATATTTCAGTTTTTCATGTTTTCGATTTTTCGCCTTCCTAGTTTTAGACTTTCTGTTTTCCAATTTTTCTTTTTTTCAAATTTTCGATTTTTTAATTTGTAATTATTAAAATTTTTCTGTTTTTCAATGTTTTGATTTCCCGATTTATCGAGATTGCACGTTTCGATATTTTGATTGCTCATTTTTTCTATTTAACAGTTTTTCAATTTATATTTTTTCGATTTTTTATTTTGGCCTATTTCGGTTCCTCAGTTTTTACATTTTTCCGTTTTTTCGTTTTTTATTTTTCGGTTTTTAGATTTTTAGATTTTCCAATTTTTTCAACTTTTAACTTTTCGGTTTTTCGATTTCTCGATCTTTTGATCTTTCGATTTCTCAATATTTCAATTTTTTAATTTTTTTAATTTTTAAATTTTTAACTTTTTCGTTTTTCGTTTTTCGGTCTTTAAATTT